TTTTTGCTGAAGGATTAGCTCTCCTGATCTTTGACCGGCTGGTAGAGTGTAGCGAAGGTGGGATGAAGCATCCTCCACCAATTGTAGGACCATCTTGTAAGATCATGGGATTCTATGAGAGCTCGCCCATGGTAGTTGTAGAGATGTAGAGTCTTGTTAGTCAGGCTCCAAATCAGGATAGAGCCGATAACCATAGATCTATACGATGTGCGACAACGTCTATTTCATAATAATAATCCCTTTATTCTCTCCCAACAAATTCATTCCTGCAATTAGCTATCAGTAGCATGCTACTCGCAACTACTCAACTGTGTAACAATGTGCTCATCAACCGGCGTCCAGTTTAATACAGTGCTTGCTTGCTTGCTTGCTTGCATGCTTGCTTGCTAACCATATAGGCATTATAGGCGTATGACATAATAGGCTTCTTATTCAGCGGAAATGGCGGCTGCTGTCTCAGCTGCTGTGGTCAGCTCGTGTACGTGATTGTATTCTTCTCTTCCTTGCTTCGTCGTGATAGCCAGGTCGTAGAAATCGAAATGTTCTGTCTCAGATGCGCCTTAGCTGCAGCATCAGTGTTCATAGGTATTGCCATACGCAATACTCGTATGGGCAAAATGCCAACACTCCATTCTAACCGTCACATCCCTTGCAGAATACTGCAATTTAATAGTCATTGGTTTTCTTCTGGTCTTCTTTCTTCCTCTTCTTCATTGTACCAGCTGTATCTTTGTACAGTGTTTCGGCTTTGTGGCTCGTATAGTGGTAGTGCCTTCAGTTCGTTATATTGTAAGCGGGTATCTCCGTCTTACAAGAAGTGTGTAGAAATGTTAACGCTTATAATCAAAGATCAAGAGAGTGAGACAGTGCCACAAAGAATAAGATTTATTACAAGAAAGCTCTTGCAGTAAGTAGAATGGTAGCACGATAATACAAGAGGAGGTGCTGACAATTAAGACGGTGCAAAGTGCTTCTTTTACAACATCTATAAGAAACTACGTTTAGAAATATAAGAAAGATTATTGCACATACTAGGAAGACAGCTCACTAAGATAGTACAAATAAGAATCAAGATAGATAGAGATAGTGGCAAAGAACCCTAAGCCATCGCTTTAAGAATGAACTTGCATACTCACGGCTTCAATAAACGATGCACGATCACGCAGGCACATGACAATATTAGAGAGTGACTAATGCCCGCTTTGCGTTGTTTTATATATGCTCTCAATTTAGTATCCACGAACCCTCCCAAATAAGGAACTATCTTTTGTAGCCATCCTTCGGCTGTCCGAGAGCTGCCTAGCAGATGCTCCCGATTTAGAATAAAATCTATGTACACCGCCGGTTATGTGGGTAATTAATAGCCATGCCATAGCGCAGCGCAGCTGCATGGTTTCACACATCCCGGACGTGTCGAACTCCGCCAGGGAGGGGTATCCTTTATTGTAAAGGAACAGCGACTCCTAGACTCCGCCCCGCTGCACGGCTCATGTGCAAAGTCGTGTATAAACAATCTTGCTACCCGTGCATAAACAACAACATTAGCCGTTGTGTTTGATGTGCAAACGTCCGGTCGTGGAAGTATCGTGTTTCACACATTCCCTATCCCCCCTCGTTGCTGCTAAGTGAGTGATGTACAAGAATCAATCTGCTGGCCGGTAATCTTAAAACGGAGTTGTATGATAAAATTATTAAATTATTTAATTAATGCAAACCTCGTGTCTACAATATAATAAATGGGCCGCTGGCGGTGCCGTCGTCGCCATCGTGTTTGTGTTTCGTGTTTCGCGGCCAGTGCCGCTACTGGTCCTCGAGGGCGACTCCTCAAGTGGCGCTTCCTCAAGTGGCACAACCCGGATGATCGTACTGTCGTCACTTAGGTGGACGACAGTTAGGCCTGGGTTGGCCCACCTAAAGCGCTCCACATCCCAAATAAAGTGCGTCCAGGTGCTGTAGCAAATAGCGCCTGGGGCGCCCTTATAAATAAGGTGTGGCCTTGGAGAGGGGGGTCCGCCGGTTGGATATCGTGAGGTGCTGTGAAATTGCCCCAGTTTGGCGTGGGCTCACTGCGTGAAGCGTGCAGGCTGGTGGCTGCACCTCGAGTGGCAGGAAGGCTGTCGGCTCCTCGGTGCAAGCTCGCTTCTGCGGTGGCTCCCGCTGGGCGGCCGGCTCTTCGTTGAGGCGTCGGACAGCACAGTACGGCATCGGGCGGAGCGGTGGCGATACCTGGAAGGCGTCGTCATCGCCGTAGGGAGCGCTGCTCGGCTGGCTGGTCGATGATGCCTGGTGGGAGACGGAGAGGATCTGTGCCGTGCTCATGTCTCGTGTCGTGCCATGGTCCTCTGCTGCTGATGCGGCTGGTAACTGGTAACAATACAATAAATACAATACTGTAAGCGGGTGTAGTTACGTCTTACAAGAAGTGCATAGAAATGTTAACACTTATAATCAGAAGAAGAGGAGAGTGTGACAGTGCCACAAAAGGAATAGATTTATTACAAGAAAGCTCTTGCAGTAAGAAATGGTCGCACGTCAGTACAAGAAGAGGTGCTTAAAAGACAGTGCAAAACTAAGTGCTTCTCTTACAACAGCTATAAGAAACTACGTTTAGAACTATAAATAAGATTATTTCACGTACTTAGTTCACTAAGATAGTACAAATTAAATCAAGATAGATATAGTGGCAAGAACCCTAAGCCTCGCTTAGAACAACTTATGTACTGCAGCAAAGACGAACACACACACTCAGGCACAGACAATATTAAGACTTACTAATGCCTGCTTCGCGTGGCTTTATATATGCTCTTAATTTAGTATCCACGAACCCATCCAAATAAGGAAACTATCCTTTGTACCCAGTCGGCCGTCCGAGAGAGGTGCAGCAGAGTTCCCGTTTTTAGAACAGATCTCTACATACACAAGCCTGGCCATGTCGGAATCAATCGGTCCATCCATACCAAGATAGCGTGTTGAGCGCACACATTCGAGAACGCTTCTCATTCTCCAATAGGGGTGTACCCCTATTGTGTTGAACCCCCCTCCGGGGGGGAAGTCTGGCCACTGCACGCTCGTGTGCCAATCGGTATAAAAACAACCGCCGATATCACATGCTCCATGCCCGCTACCACACTGCACAAACAACAACACATTAGCTGCTGGTTTGCCTGTGCAAAACTGCCGGACATGGAACTCTCATTTCACACATTCCATATCCCCCCCCCTCGTTGCTGCTAAGTGAATGATTTACAGGAATCAATCTGCTGGCCTGTAATCTTAAAAGGAGTTGTATAGTAAATTTATTAAACTGATTTAAATAATGCAAACCTCGTGTCTACATTTCCCCCCTGTCCAATCGGACGATGACCCATCGTTACAGCAGACTCCCGACTGCTCTTTTTAAAAATTTCGAACAGGCCGTTTCCTTAGAGGAGACATGGATTCGTAAAGACTAAAACGAAGCTGAAGAAGAAAGAAAGAATAATTTTATAGTGTAACGTCAAGAACCGTTAAAATTACCGGAATTAATGATGTCATGATAAGTTAAGAAGAAAAGAAGGTACAGAAAGAGAGATGAGTAATACTCTATTAGAACAATAGTACTGTGGCACTAGTCAAATAAGCAAATACAATAATAATATTTTACAAAGAACGGAAATTATTTTTATTTTACAGAAAAATTGGTGTTTTTTTTTTTTTTTTTAACCAGCGAAGATACTTGTACAATTACTTGCTAAAACTACATTCGTTATATCTGCTAATACTACTATTATTCGTTACACTATGCATTTTGTCAATATTTTGTTAGTATCCGTCAGGGTATGCTGGCGGCATCATGAAGGGGGGTTTCGGATGTCCCCTTGTGCTTGCCGCTGCATGCGCTGCCCAACGAGGGAGTCCCCTCCGGCGGCTCCAGATCCTCGATAGGTCGCTTACTCAACCCCTGGATTCACATTAAATATGGAGCTCACCGATTGGTTGACGTAACGGCATTCATATGTCAACAAACGCACGTGCTTCCCACTTCAAACATGAAAATAGCCAATACACGGGTAAAAATCATATAAATTTCGGCCAGGTTATGTAGGATATGTCAGAAAATAGTGACTCAACCCAAAATTATAACCGTAGTTGACTTAGTTGCCTCCCAAAATCATAGCAATATCCACGAATCGCTAAAATTTCAGACTGATTGATTCCCGTCATGCCCGTCTATGGTGTGTAGGCCTACTACAATGTATGCGAAATGCACAGTAATAGTTGGAACCGCTCGCTTCTGAAAGGTTTCGAAGTGACTTCGGGAATTTCCGTAGTTTCATCAAGATTCTTGATGCTTTTCACAAGCTGAATCCAGGGATTGGTGGAGCGACTTACCCTGTACTTGAAGCGGAGCCGTGTACCCCTGGGAACGAGGTTGCACCCAAATTGATCTAATATTTTTAAATACCAGTACAGTGTAGGGCAGGCTACATATTATTTTCTTCGTCAAGTCCAATCAGCCGGGATTGTGGTTTTAAGCCCTGTTCCTCTTTTTTTGGAATGGGCCGTGTTATTTTTTGGAATGATTGTGACAAACTAAAAAGGTTTCTGCCATACCAAGCATATCAGAAACGTACCTTAGTGTTATGCCATCGAGTTCCTGGAGTCTTCTCTGGGCTGGACAGAAGATGCTGTCGCACATGCTGTCGACTGACGAATGGACGAGGTTGTTCAATGGCTGGCCAATCCTATCCCATTCACTCCCGTAGAGGTCGACAAGTCTAGGGAGGCGGTTTTGAATGACGCCGGTGTGCCTCAGCCAGACGACTTTGGCTTCAGCAAAACGTCTTCCTCTCATGTGCTCGATTACATCTCGGAGGCATCGTGCAGTTGCATTGTCTCTTGCCGACTCATCTAATATCTTCTTAACCCTCTATCTACCACTTGGTGAAAAAATCATCTTAAAAATAAGAGTACTTGCAAAGATAATCATTATGAGCCCCAGAAACTACTCATAGCAAAAAAAAATTACAGTGTTGAGATGTTTCTGTAGTTACTTTTGATGGAAGGCAATGAAGCAATTCCGATTTTTATTAAGGCATAAGTGAACGCCACATTTTTGACATTTTACTTGGGAAAATTTCTCCGAACAGCACTTGCATCTCTGCCTTTCATCTACATATAGTGGTAAATGATCAATATGGTCATACTGTACGTCTGCTATAGGCCGAGGATTGACACGGTTCTTTTTAAGAGGTGGTGGGGTACCCAAAGATGGCCTACCACGTACTCTTTTTTCACATTGACAGAGAGCAGAGGAGACCTGGGCTTGAAACTTCCTCAAACACATAATATTTTTTACATTCATCAATTTGCAATCTCTCTTGTAGAGAAACCATGAGTTCACAAGTGCTATGGTCAGTGTGTGATAGAAGATAAAGAAATACCACCTCCTGGTTTTCAAATGACATTTGTATAGACTACACATCATGTCGAGCAGGTCGACCCCACCCATGGTGCTATTATAGGTGCGAACTATACACGGTTGTTCGACATTGATGTGTTCTTTTTTCTTTCGGTCATAGCGCCTCACTGGAGCGACAGGTGTAGCACACACATATGAGGATACCATATTTACACACTTGTTGTCATACCACCTAAGTAAAAACAAGTTTCTTGTGGTTTCTATGACAGAGTGATGAGCCCCTCGGCCAATTTTTTTCAGATCTTCAGTTTTGAGGGGTGCACCATGCAGCCGATCTTTTCTGACTGTACCTATATAAAACATATCCCGTTTTTTTAGTTCATAAATCATGGCAAAATTGGAAAAGAAATTGTCAGCACATATTTTGAAATTTCTTTTTTCTGGTAATGACTGACATAACATAAGAACCACGTTACCGCCAAGTCCACAGTTTGGTGCATCACCAACAAGCCCAGATCCTCTTCCTTGATATACATCAAATTGATGCAAAAACCCAGATGAGTCACAGCGACCCCAGAGTTTAAACCCCCACTTTTTAGGCTTTTTAGGCATATATTGTTTTAGTAGGGCTCTGCCCTTGAATGCCACCATAATTTCGTCGATACTTTGGTGCTCATCTGGAGAGACTTGGGAAAATGTAGCATTGAGACTGTCAAGCCAAGGCCTAACCTTCCATGCTCGGTCTTCCTTTTCTTGTTCCGTAACTGTATTATTGTTCTTTATATGTAGGTATGATGTTAATTTTTGGAAACGGTTTCTTGACATTATATCCGCTACTGGATTATAACGCAAATCAGTCTCCCAGAAACAAGCATAACCAGGCATTTTCACGAGTCCCATTTTGAAATAGATGCCCATGAATTGTTCTATTTCTTGCATAGTTGCATTCATATTCAAGCCAGATTTTTCATGAGCATACAGGTTTGTTTCAAGAGCTAATTTGGCAATCGCTATCATTCGTAACAAAGCCCTTGAAATATTCATAAGGTGTTGCATATCTTGGTTCTGGAATTACAGAGGCACTGACAAATTCAGTAGATGGTGGAACAAATGTACGTCGAGCATCATATAAGTAGTAAGGAGTTTGTAGATTTGTTCCGGCATTTGCTTGTCCCTTGTTGTGGTTGCAATCCTGGCAATGTACATCATCATCTGATGTGCATCTGATTCAGCAGAGTTACCATCATTTTTTCTCTTCGAATCACCTGCGTCCTCTGATGCAGGATGGACATCATCCTCATCAAGCCAGCCATCATCGGAGTCATCCACATCCGAGAGTTCATCGAATTCACTGTCTGATGCTAGAACAGCATCCAAACATCTGCGAATTTTATTCTCCTGTGTTTGTTCATCTGGAAGAAAATAAGCAGGGAATGAAAATTTGTCATACACTCAATTCACCACACTTACTTACCATTGTATCAAATTTGATACATGAAAAATAAACTACCATCAACACCCGTTTCTATAATAGTTATACTTACCGTTTCTATAATTTACTAACAGCAATTGAACACATCCATATATTCTATAGGGTATAATATCACAAACCAATACCGCATATGACATTTATTTTACGCTAACAAAGGGTTTTGAAAAATTCTTACCTTCCAAAACAGCCTTGTCTGAAACCATGGAGGCAGTCTCTTCTCGCGGATGCTCTAAATGGTTACAGTAAAGTGCTGCTTCTGCATTCGTCAAATGAACTAAATTCAATCCCAAATCTCGATACACTGGTTGATGACGGAACAATATTAAAAGATTCTGCAGGTAATGGGTCCCAAAATGCATGTATCAAATTTGTTGCTCTTGCATTTTGTTGGATTGTGAAGCTTCTGTATTTTTTTGTTTTTTTTTGGTTCGCGACACCACCCATCTTGTGACAGGTCAACGCTAAAATGTCATCTGCCAATGTACTTGTCCATTTTCTTTCTCTTTTTGACGGCGTATTCTTTTGGCCTCTATTTGCCACCTGATAGATGAAGTCGCCCCCCCTCAATCAGGCCCTGATTGTTTTCTTCAGTTTAGGATAGCAAGTTTGGCCGCGTCTCAATACCAGGTTTTCATCCGCAAGACATCAACTATTTACCATCTGTGAACCATGCCTCACAGGCGCATTATTGTCCCGCTTGTCTCTGTCTGTCTCTTCAGAGGTGTGGTTCGTCTGTCCCGTGAGTATCTGTCCAGATCCCAATAGCATGCCAGCTTACATGGCATAGATGGCAAGTACTTGTTGAGCAGTAGTTTGAGATGCGCTCCGACCTGAAATTCATTGGACAAGCCAGTGTCCCCCTTCTGTTTCCGCTAACATTCTGTTCAATTGTTAATGAGAGTGGGCAGTGAATGGAGGACGCTTGCCATTATTGCCCCTTTGTCATCTATAATGTCCTTTCGGTATTGGGACATTGTCCTTGGACTGACCTTATCGCTTTCTTCGTCCTAATCTCTGTTTCTAGGGCTAAGAGCCTTACGCCAAATCCTGTTCAGGACTGCTTTAAGCTTGGTGCGGTTTGCTCTATGGATTGTAAACTTATGCAGCAATCCTTGAAGATGTTCGATTGCTTCCTCAAGCGATGTTGAGTTACATGAGGCACGTGCCATCAATGTTCATGACAATCTTCTTTGTTTTTATTCTGTTTTGTTGTTTTTCTCAGGTTTGTAGACAGATTGTGCATTATATGAGCGTGCACAAATGCACGACCGTCAAATCCTCTGACATGTGCATAGTCCTTCTGATATAATCTGCATCGCCGTCTTGAGCTACATCTTTATCTGTCGGCATTCTTGCTGAAAAACGTTTCTAAGCAGCTTTGTATTAAGGCTGCAGCTCAGTCAGACTCAACTTCTCGATGTTATCTCGTGATGTCTTTCAACCTTTCTGCCCTGATGATAGATTGCCAAAAAGTGGTAGCTAGGCTGTTATCGTGTGCTAAGTGCAAAGGAAGTCGCCCAACAGCAGATGAGCGAGGAGTTACCTCTCTAGATTTACTACAAGTGAGGTAAGTAGAACGACGATGCTGCTCGCGAATCTTACTTGGAGGATACTTCCCTGTTGCATCAAGTATTGTGAGTCACGTTTTTTTAGACAAATTGCAGAGGATGTCATCCTGCTCACCGGCAGAAAAGTTTGCACCGAAAAGGGATCGGCAGAAACGTATTGACATGAAGGATCTCTTGCGTCTGCATACACCTTCTTCAGGAGGAAGGACTCCTGTAATTTTGTCCTTGTGCATCATTCTTGCTGTAGGATCTCTGAAACGGCGCTTCTTCTAGGATGCTTGAGGAACCCATTGTGAGATTTCTGACTGAGTATTGGCGCCTCAGGAGCTTCAGGAGGAGATTTTCATAGAACAGGTCTGGTGTACGAACCAACAGCCTCAGCATTTGCATGGAAAAGCACGACATCCCCATCAATCAGACGGATTGCTGTTTACATCTTGTTATGATCTGAACAATCCTCCTATGTTGGCGGTAAACCAACGTCGAAATTTGTCCTCTTCACCTGGCTCTTCTTGGATTGTAAATTTTGCAGTGGGCCACAAGGTTGGGTCGGCCACCCTAGAGTACCCCTGTATATACGATAAAATAAATCTTACTTACTGCTTTTGTTCCATGCGAACCTAAACAGAGTTCACGTATGTGCCGACCCGTCTGGATTAAATAAGATACGATTAACTAATATACAAAGATATGGCAAATTCAACGTGAAGTATAAGCATCATCGCTCACAGTATTTAAAAGTATTTTTAGTAGGTGCCGGCATGTGTACTAATAGATTCTACAATTTCCTTCATTACCTGCTGACCTTCTTCGGGTTCGACGTCTCTTCGTGGCCATATTTCCGAATGTACTGAAAATGCCTGATGGCAGTTTTAAAAGATATACTTTGCTGTCAACAGTCATACAAAACAAGACGCCAAGAACCTAAAAAAAGCCAGTCTCCTACTTCTACAAAACCACAGACCCATCACAATTTTTTGTTTTCACAACTTTGCTTCTGTTTATTTGAGCTCCTGTTATTTCGGTGGGACTGTCAAATTGCCGTTTCATGGGCACGTTTTCGCTAAGCACTGGCATGACTGTATCTATGTTCCACTATAAGATATGAACCATAAAGGAATAAACCATAAAGGATCAAGTCTCAGATCTTGATTTTACATGTTTTATAGCTTCAAACCTGCTCTCCCTGAACGGCAGTTGTGCACGCCGATTATTTATTATTCCGTTATAGATGATAGATCTAGGTAACATTAATAAAATAAGATAACTGTCATCCAAAATCCGTCCAGTATTTAGGAGAGATTATCGACTGTGATGTGAAAAAATTAGTAGCTCCATACATCATAAATCTTCACGAACGAGCTATGGTGAAGCGAATTTCGTGCCGGAACGCCTGGACGATTTTGCATGAAGATTTGTTATCAGATGACCGAGATCATCATTATAAAAGGATAATAAAAATCGGTTCACCAATGACGTCAGGGAGAGCGTTGA